TATATTTTAATCTTAATCTTAGCTATATTAATTTAATTATTGCTCTAAAATATATTTACAAAGAAATAATTTTCAAACTATTATTTTAACATAGAAAAAATAATTATACGGTTTTGGCAGGAAAAACCATGATTTGCGGGTTTGGCGAAAACATGATTTGCCGGAAAATATGATTTTGCGGTTTTGGCGGAAAAATATGATTTGGAGAGAAAATATGATTTTAAAGGAAAAATTAAGTTTTGTGGTTTTAAAGTATCAAACACATGAAAACATATTCATTCCTCAATTAAAGAATTCAAATCGAGAAGGTTTAAGAGAGTCTTACAACCTCAATTTCTCTTTATCTCATTGTCTCCTGGAATTTAAAAGAACAATTGATCACATCAATGAATAAAATAAATAACCAGAAGAAAATTTGAGGCATTCTCAGCAACAGACATCAATAAAAAAGAGAGTAACCAACAAACTCACTTTCATCAGCCAAAGCCGGTGATCGAAGCTGCAAAAAGAGAAGAATAATCCATATTCAAATTTGACTTGAGAATTGAGAATTTGATAGATGCAATCGATTTCAATTAACCATAAAAAGTACACACAATGCAAAAATTAAACTAAAGATTACATCAGAAATTGTTCAAACCAACATCAAATCAAATCAACATGTTAACAAAGGCATCTCCTTCAATTGATCCCAAGTTCTTGGGCACCTTAGCTTCCAAAATTGTAGCATTGGATTTGAAGATGTTCATTCCATACACAAATCCATTGAAGGCAAGAACTCTTGCAAGATACACTCCAGCAGAAGCTTGCTCTTCAGACACACTGATTTGTCTCTCAGCATTCATCTCTGTAATCTTCTTGACTTCAGCCAAATTCTTCTCCAATCCGTCATCAATATGCTTCTTCAACTCCGTAAATTTCTTGTCACAAGAACGCCGCATGCCGCAAATCTAAGAATTTGATGATGCAAGTTTGACTTCAATTAACCATAAACAAAAGTACACACGATTATTCAATTCAAAAGATTAAACAAAATTAAGATTACACAAGAGATTATTCAAAACCATCAAAGCCAACATCAAAGCAACATCTTCTTCTCTTTAGTATAAGAGATTAAAAAAGCCATCCCCTTCAAGCGATCCCTCCTTCTTGGGCAATAGCCGGTCTATGGCATAAGCGATCGCTATGTGCATATTTTGTCCATGCCATATAGTATTTTTTGTTTTTAAGTTAATGTTTTGCTAATTTGTTTGTTTTTCATTTGTTTAAAGATTTAGTTTCAACCATATATTATGTAGGAGTATTATTTTGTAGTAATCATGTGGTTCCACCATTTTTCGTAGATGTATGAAATAATTTGAACAAAAACTTAAAAATATTAGTTTTGTTATCGTAAAATTGATATATTAATTAAATTTATGGTGTTAGCATCTTTATATCATTTGTGACAACTAAATAATACAAAAATATTTGCATTATTTATCATTTATAAATTTTAAATAAAACAAAAAATTTATATAACAAACTACAAGAATTTTTTTAAACTTGTTTGTTAAATATCTAATTTTTTATTTTCTCTTAGGACACTATAAATGTTTGGACCGGTCCTGCTTGGGCACTTTTATGGCTTCTAAGATGGTAAACCCAAAATCTTCTTCTTTTTTTGTATGAATGAAAAATTTGTTTATAAAAAAACTATGACTAAAATGTATGCATCCTTAAGAGAGATTTTTTTTTTTTTTTTTTTTTTTTGTCATCTCCTTAAGAGAGATTTTTAATTAAAGAGAACAGATGATCTTTAAATTAGTAAAACAAAGCTAAGAAGTATAACGGCCAAGAAATGCAGACTTCAAATCCTTGCTCGAAACCATTCACAATTATCCAATTTAGTTACCTATAAACAAATATATGAACGAATATTGGATAATATAAGGAATTAATTTTTTTTAAAAAAATAATAATAATATAAGGAATTAAACGTAGCATAACATAATGACTGAATTTGTATACTTACAGAAGCAGTGGCGGATCTTGAGATGGACCAGGGAAGGGGAAACTTGTGTTCTTTGAGCTATGTTCAAGAGTTTGTTTTAACCCGTCTCTTTGCTCATGCTTTCTTTCTGTGGAATTATTTCAGCTGTGTCGGCTCGAGAAGCAATCACTTCAGGTTAGAATTTTTACTGAAAACAAAGATCAATATATACCTATCAAAAAGAAAAACACACTCTTAAGTTTTGTCACTCTCTTTTTCAAATAGCTTGCACTGGTGAATCCTGTGGGGACTGATGGAAAAGCTACACAAGTCCAAGATCAAAAGCCTATGCAAAGCTTTGATCTTCTCTATAGGTATTTTCTAGCATCACTGTTGGAGTGATCTCAGTGATGAAACTCTAGAACCATTTGCCTCTTGTCAAAATTTACACAAAGGTTTAATATTGGCTACAGATAAGAGATTAGAGTTGTATGATAAGAGAAGCAAGCGTTGGTCACTATAACCTTGTCTCTTCAAGAACTGGTACTGCTCTTTCTCCTCCTGACAACTTTCTTCACAGTAACTTTGTTGTCGCTCTTCTCTTTGTCGTCTGTACTATTCACAGCTTTTACAGAACTTGGTTGGCTTCTCATGCGCAGTATCTCACCCTTTGCAGAGCCCAAGTCTTCCTCGAGCTTTTTCACTTTCTTCTCTAGCACTTCCCTCTCTTTTCCTAGACTCATCACCAGGATATGTGCATCTTCCACATTTTCCTTAGCTTCTTTTGATGCATTCTTTGCCTCTCCTAGTGATCTTTGAAGTACTTCTTTCTCGTCCTCCAAACTCGAAGCATGGGTATTCACCTTCTCAAGCTCTCGTGACAGGATTGATGTGTTCTTGTTCATCTCATCTAAAGACTTTACCGCTTCTTCGAAGTCTGTTTCAAGGGATTTTCTCGCCTCCCTGTCCATCAAGATCTGCTTTTCCATTCCTTTCACCTCTTTGTTCAACGACAAAACCGTCTTTTTCTCCTCTTCCAATTCCTTGTTAGTGGTTTCAACTTTCTTGTAAATCTCCACTAGTTCCTTCTGGAGGCTCTGGTTCTTGACAGAAGACTCTTTGAGTTCATGGGTTACTCCCTCAAGCTCGTCTTTAGCTCTCTTCAGAAGATCTTTCTCCACTGCAAGTTCGCTAGCCAAAATCTCATTTTTTTGTTTTTCCGCATCGAGGTTCTTTTCATATCTTTCCTTAGCTTCATTCCATTCTGCGTGAACTATAGCAAGCTCTGATTCTAACTTTGAACACAAAGCTCTTGACTCATCAAGCATCTTTTCCAGGTCAGATACTCGATCTCTAGATGCCTGCAGTGTTTTCTTTGTTCCTTCAAGTTCATGTCTCAAATTTTTTACAGTAGTCAGTTCTATATCCAGCATTCTCTTTGAGTCTTCGTACTTCTCAGTCAAGTCAGCAACTTTGTTTTTATTTTTATTTACATCATCAAGCGCACGATCCAGCTTCTCATGTAGCTGCTGAATCTCCTGCTCTTTCCTGCTGATGAGCTCCGCATCAGCCGCCGCTCGTGTCTCAGAAGTCAATTTCAAAGCACTATAATCTTTTGAAACGCCATCAAGCTTCTGGATAAAACTCTCTTTCTCAGCCTCTAAAGTTCTTGTTTTGGTGTTTAACTTCTCAATCGCAGAATTCTTAGACTCCAATTCACTCTGATTATTTGTGAGTTCTTCGTTCAGCTGTTTGATGTCTAAATTTGCTTTGGAAAGATCTCGGCTAATTTGAGTGTAAGCAGAGTTGAGATTCTTCAATTCTGATTCCTTTTCTGCCAGCAATGCATTAATACGTTGAGCTTTTTCTTCACTATCTTTCAGCTCCAAACTAAGCAAGTTGATCCGATCTTGTAGCCCCTCAACCAAATCAAGCTTTTCTCTGAGCTTTGTTTCTAGTGCCTTTTTGTCTTCGCCAGCCTTTGACAGACTATTTTGCAGACTTTCGATTTGAACTCTAAGCTTCTCACATAATTTCTTCTCGCTACTTAGCTCCCGGCCTAATTCTGTCACCAAATCCTTTGCAGAATTCAACTGGTTGATCAATGACAACTGCTCCTCTTTTGCCTTTTCTACTTCCTTTTTCCGCTCTTCCTGCTCATGCTGCAGTTTTGCTTCAAAATCTTTCTCCTTCAACACTAATGCTCTTTCTCTGTCTTTCAACTGGCTCTTCAGCTGTATACCATGGTTATCGGTAGCTTAAGTAACAAAAGGATCAAATCCAGCAACGAGATATTCACAACCTCAAAAAGCTAAAGAAACAAAAGAAGAGAAGCTTGAACTAAATGATATAACTACCTAGACAAGAACGTTCAGCCACAAATTGTAAAGCAAAATCCTTAAGTGCGAGTAGCTTACAGATTCAATGGTTTCTTCAGCCGCTTTTGTATCTTGCAGAGCCAGTGCATAGAGTGCACCAAGAACTCCAGCACTAAAAATTCCAAGACCATTTAGAAGAGACAGAAATGGATTTGAGGACGTTCTTTCACTTACTACTGCAACCTATCCACCAAACCAATACTGATTCAGTAAAAGTACCAAGCACTTCAAAACACATTGATTCTCAATTAAAGAATTCAAATTGAGAAGGTCTAAGAGAGTCTTACAACCTCAGTTTCTTGATCAAGCTTTGATGTCTCTATCTCATTGCCTCCTGGAATTAAAAAGAAGAACTGATCACAGCAATGAAAGAAAGATAACCAAAAGCAACATTTGAGCATTCTCATCAAGGCACTAGAGACCATCAATGCAGTAAGAAGAATAAAAAAGAGAGCAATCAAAAACTCACTTTCATCAGCCAAAGCCGGTGATCGAAGCTGCAAAAACGGAAGAACGGAGATACCCACAAGAAGAAAAGCCCTCCTCTTGACGGAATCAGCGTCATACTCGTACCCATCTTCCTGGTTTAAAGAAGCCAATGTCGTTCGCCGGCGCTTATTACTCGAGCAAAGAAGCCCAAACTGCGACGGAGAAGGAGAAGAAGAAGGATACGGAAAGAATCGAGAGTGGAGAGGAACAGAAGGGACGAAGCAAGAGCCCCCTATGAGGAAACCCATCTTCGCCGCCAAGTACTACTAAGAGATTGGAAATGTGTGGCAAATGAAGCAATCCTAAATTCACAGGCCCAAAGCAATCCTAACTTCCTTTAGATGTAGTGTGACCTCGGATAATCTCAAAGAAGAATGATTACACAAAACTCAAAACTATCCTTCGATTTCTGAAATAAAATATCTAAAAATCCTACGAAATTGGGTAATCAAAGGTTGAAACTTTTTCCTTTTGAGGAGGGCAATGGCATATCTGCAATTTTGGAATAGTTCGGTGCTTTGTGTACATAACTTACCAATCAAAACTCGCCAGCTTAGACTTCCCTGCCTCGTTATCCTCAATCTTTGGGTTCGCTCGGTTTAAGAAAACACGTGAGCCTCACGTGCGTCTTCTTCCGCTAATCTATCTGACCCTAACTTTCTCATGTTTATTTATTAACTGTTCTGTCTTAAAACCACCGACGGCGACTTGAAATATCGATTGCTCGGCGTTGGAGTTTGGTCGCCACCGGACTGTTACATGTAAAACACGATTATAAAGATGGTGTATATATCGGCGCGATCCATACTCGCGAAGCGAAGTGTCTCGACTCTACCTTATCTCTCTCAGAGATTTAAACAAACAGGTAATGTGCACATTTTGTCCCTCTTACGCCTCTTTGTCAATAAGCGAAATGTCTTCTCAAGATTGACATTTAGGGTTTTAGGAGAAAAGGGATTTGAAAAAAAGTCTAAAGTCGCTTCCTTTGAAGTAAGAAAACGAGAAAAGGTTTTGATATGAACATTTGTTTTATCCATGAATTTGCAGAGAATGAGATTGTTCAAATGTTTAGTATTCCGAATCATGAGGAATCTGAGAAGCCTCAAGAGAAGTGGAAATTATCTAGGAAAGATCCGTCAGTGCGAATGTTGGATGAGAGATTCATTAGGATAGTCAAAATCTTCAAATGGGGACCTGATGCTGAGAAAGCTCTTGAGGTACTTAAACTGAAAGTTGATCATCGATTAGTTCGTTCGATTCTGGAAATAGACGTTGAGATAAATGTCAAGATTCAGTTTTTCAAATGGGCTGGTAAAAGAAGAAACTTTCAACATGATTGCTCCACTTACATGGCCTTAATACGTTGCCTTGAAGAAGCTAGGCTTTACGGTGAAATGTATAGAACGATACAAGAGGTGGTTCGTAACACATATGTTAGCGTTGGTCCGGTAGTACTCTCTGAGCTTGTGAAAGCATTGGGGCGAGCTAAGATGGTTAGTAAAGCTTTATCGGTTTTTTATCAGGCGAAAGGACGCAAGTGCAAACCCACTTCGAGCACTTACAACTCGGTAATTCTAATGTTGATGCAAGAAGGACAGCACGAGAAAGTCCATGAGGTTTACACTGAGATGTGTAACGAAGGTGACTGTTTTCCAGACACGATTACTTACTCTGCGCTTATATCCTCGTATGAAAAACTAGGTCGTAATGATTCTGCGATAAGGTTGTTTGATGAGATGAAGGATAACTGTATGCAGCCTACAGAGAAAATATACACCACGTTGCTGGGAATATACTTTAAGGTGGGTAAAGTTGAGAAAGCTTTGGATCTTTTTGAGGAGATGAAACGAGCAGGTTGCTCGCCTACAGTTTATACTTACACAGAACTGATAAAGGGACTTGGCAAAGCTGGGAGGGTAGAAGAAGCATATGATTTATATAAGAACATGCTTACAGATGGATTGACTCCTGATGTTGTGTTCTTAAACAATCTGATGAACATTTTAGGCAAAGTGGGTCGATTGGAGGAGTTAACGAATGTCTTCAATGAGATGGGAACATGGAGATGTACACCGACTGTTGTTTCATACAATACCGTGATTAAAGCTCTATTTGAGTCAAAAGCACCTGTTTCGGAAGTGAGCTCTTGGTTTGATAAAATGAAAGCAGATGGTGTTTCCCCTAGTGAATTCACTTATTCGATCCTTATAGATGGTTATTGTAAAACGAATAGAGTAGAGAAAGCTCTGTTGCTTCTTGAGGAGATGGATGAAAAAGGTTTTCCACCTTGTCCTGCAGCGTATTGCAGCCTCATAAACGCTCTTGGAAAGGCAAAAAGATATGAAGCAGCGAATGAGCTATTTAAGGAACTAAAAGAAAACTTCGGCAATGTAAGTTCTCGAGTATACGCTGTGATGATCAAACATTTTGGGAAATGCGGGAAGCTCAGCGAAGCTGTAGATCTCTTCAATGAGATGAAGAACCAAGGAAGCGGTCCAGATGTTTATGCTTACAACGCCCTCATGTCAGGAATGGTAAAGGCTGGTATGGTAAATGAAGCTAATTCGTTGCTTAGAAAGATGGAAGAAAACGGTTGCACCGCGGATATAAATTCGCACAATATCATCCTCAATGGATTTGCGAGAACAGGTGTGCCGAGGCGGGCTATAGAGATGTTTGAAACTATGAAGCATTGTGGTATTAAGCCTGATGGTGTCACTTATAATACTCTTCTTGGATGCTTCGCACATGCTGGAATGTTTGAGGAGGCTGCAAGACTGATGAGAGAGATGAAAGATAAAGGATTTGAGTATGATGCCATCACTTACTCATCTATACTTGACGCTGTTGGCAATATGGATCATGAAAAAGATGATGTTTCATCTTTGTAAGAGTTGATTTTTCTACTTGGAATAACAAGATTAAAGAAGTAGAAGCTGAAAAATTACTACATTGTTTAAGTTTTAGTCTAATCGAAGATTAATGTATGATTTGAAAAATATAAACACTTGAATCCAAAATTGATTACAAGAAAGAAGCTCAAGTATAATTAAGATTAAAAACTTTAGAAGAAACAACAAATCTAGCAGAGAAAGACTTGGAAGACACATCAGGATCTTCGTGATATGCGATAGTTCCATCATTCTCGAAGTTTTGGGAATAAGTGAAAGGATCATAACGAAAACGATGATCAAAGATCTGACATTTCTTGTTTTGCTTCATCATCATCATCTTCCTCCATATCAATCTCCATTTTGAGATCTTCAATCTCAAAACATCTTCAGACAGATCTTTGATCCGATCGTAACTGCAAGTCTTTGAACACATTAGGTGTTTCTGCATAGCACCATTAGAGAAGATGAAAATAAACTTGAGATATGTTTTGGTATTAAATAGTGTTTTCGATCTTATGATATGTTTGAGGATCTAATCTCTTCTTAAGGAAGTGAAGAATGATTTGTTTAGTTAACACATAAAAGTATCATTCTTGTTACAACTTGCTAATCTTGCAATCATATATATTAATTAGTAGTACATCATATTTTATATATATATATATTTCTCAATTTGAAACATTAATCACTATAGATATACAATTAATGACTATCCATCGTATTTATAGGGCAATGAGTAAGTTGGCATATAAAAATATTTGCCGTTTTGTTTATACGTTACACAAATTAGTCAGGTTTCAGAAATTGTTTAATAGGCCAGTAGTGAGTAGATTTGTTTCATTTGTGACATAAAATCTACTGTAACACACACAGACACAGCAATATACATGTAAATTTTCCCGCATTTTCCTTATTAATTCAGATGATTAAACACTAAACAGGTAAGATCAACACATTAAGAAAAATTAGAGGGTTGGATCTACACATCTAATTTGTTAAGAAACAAACAATTATCTACTGTAATATGGATATGTCGTCAGACAAACAAATCAGAGAATTTTCTGGCCCATATTTAGAGCCGAGTAAGGTTTTCCGAAGCCCATATATTGGCCCATTAGTGTGGCCCATATATTGGCCCACTAAATCTCACCAATAAACATGCTCTCATGGTGAGATTTAGTGGGTATCAGCCTAATAAAGAAAATAAAAAAATCGATTTTGGGCTTGATATTGGGTGAAACGTCTCAATTCACTAAGACTTTTGGATCGGTTCTTCTTGGCCACATGTGACGCATTCATTGGGCAAAAAAAAAAAATCTGTGTTTATCATTTCATTTCTCTTCTCTTCGTCTCTCTCTTCTTTCCGTTTCATTTTTTTATTATTATTTTAGTGATACCCATTGAGTTTCACCATTAAACATACAAATTTAACAAAAATCTTTTTGAGTATCATAGATTAAACAACTAATTAAATTAATATTAAAAAAATTTTAATGATACTCAAAGGGGTTTATTAATAAACATGCTCTCAGGTTTAGGTCATAAACCGATAAAACCAACATCCGTGTGGAACCACGTTTCGATCTTTTAAATTAGGGGGAAAGTGGACTGGAACTTCCTATTTGTGTAAACCGAAATCGAGGTTCGAATTCTGTGTAGTTCTGGTGCTATATGAAACTTTCGAGGGGGACACAGATCATTTACCCCTTTTCTTTTCTATCGACGGAAGAAATCTGCAAGTTACCGAGGAAAAAGGAAAGAGCTTTCGTTGGTCGCAGGTAACCCAAGTTATATATATATATATTGATTTAGAAGATCAGGAAATGGTGAAAGATACACAGTAAGCTCAAACCCTAATTTTCTATTCCATCGATCCTTGTTTGAGAGTTGAAAACCAATGACGAAGATGTCTGATCTCTCTATAGATGTGTTGGAGGAGATTCTTTCTAGGGTTCCGGTGACATCAACGAGAGCAGTGCGATCTACTTGCAGAAAGTGGAACACTTTATCCAAAAATCTGAGCTTTAGAAAGAAGCACCTTGCTCAAGCAGCTTCAGCACTGAGAAGAGAAGGGGAGCTTCAGGCGATTGTGTTGTTAAATTTTAGTCTTTATTTGATGAGCGTCAATCTCCATGGAACTCACAGCGACGACTTTGATCCATCTATAAGGTCTAGAGGTAATCTTATTAGCTTAAACGATTCGGATATACTCAAAATCACTCGAGTATATCACTGCGATGGTTTAGTGTTATGCGTCACAGAAAACTACACTAGGCTCGTGCTTTGGAATCCGTATACAGGGCAAACTCGGCGGATCTGCGCCGAACTCAGATCCGCTAAGAACAGTGGGTACTTGTATAATCATGCTCTCGGATACGACAAGAGCACCTATAAAGTCTTGAGGTTTTGAAATGTTTCCTCCGGGATGTATGTGCACGAAATCTACGATTTAAACACTAATTCATGGAGAGTTCTTGATGTCACTCCAGACTTGGATGTGGAGTTTGATAATTTTGGCCTGTCTTTGAAAGGAAACACGTATTGGTATGCTACAGATAAGGAATCACGAGAGGACGTTCCTGGTTTCTTACTCTGTTTCGATTTTACGACAGAGAGATTTGGACCGTGTCTGCCTCTGCCTTTTGAGTCTTATTCTGAAGATGCCGTGACTCTATCCAGTGTTAGAGACGAGCAGCTTGCGGTGTTGTATCAGAACTGTGATACTTATGAGATGGAGATTTGGGTAACGACCAAGATTGAGCCTAATGCAATGTCCTGGAGCAAGTTCTTAGCGGTGGATATGAATCCATTAACTGGGTTATGGTTCTATGGTGGTGGGAGTTTCCTCATTGACGAGGAGAAGAGAGCCGTGGTTGTTTTTGATGAAGATAAAAATGTATCAGAAACCAATCGTAACACAGCTCACTTCATTGGTGTGAATGGTTACTTCAGAGAAGTGGATCTCGGAAAAATTACAACAGGCAAAGAGATGGTTTTCCCGCATGCCTTCTCTTATGTTCCAAGTTCTGTGCTTTTTGAGTCTGGATCTTATGAGAAACGTTAAAAGCTGTCTTACCTTTGGCGTCAACTTTACTTGTTTTCCTAATCGGTTCCAAGTTTCATGTCATCTCCTTTGGCACCAGCCACCAGCTATGCTTGAAGAGTTTCCGGTGAGATATACAGTTTTTTTAATCTATTTTAGTCAGTTATGTTACAAACTAAGTCTGATTCTTGTATTCTTTCCTACCATTAAACCAATAAAATTTTCTCCTTACCAATAATTGGGTTATTACTTTGTGCTTCCACAGTGTTTTTCCATTCGATCGATACAAGAGCTTTTGGATTATTGGTTTGGTTTTTATTTCTTTAATGATTAGGATTTATTTATATTAATATATGGGGTATTATGAATCTGGTGGAAGACTTTTTGTCTTTATGAAAAAAAAAAACACACCACTCTGTTTCTCCTCCTTGGTTGGGAAGAATTAGCTTTCTGTTGTAAGTCCCTTTTAAATCCTACTTGGTTGTTGTATTCTCCAAAGAGACATAGTTGTTCGATAAAAACAAAAACAAGTTGCTGCAGTACAATGGTTTTCCTCGAGAAGATGGCGTCTGGTTCTGTTATGTGTCTTGTTTTGGGTAATTTTGGCATGAAAGAGCCAACTTTCAGTTTGTAGTCATTGTCAGCATTACTTTCTTGGTATTTTACTATTTTTTGTGTGTACAGTTGTTGCTCGGAAACTTCAACGGACAAGACTTCAAATTTGTCCCCCAGCGTAGACTTGGACTTTTGAGTTAGACTTGACCATAAACGAGAGATGTCTTGACAACCACTTTTGAGAGATATCTTCCAAATTATCCATCTTCCAAGTTTCAGATTTTCTGAAACTATGTGGTCAAATGGCATCTTTCTCATTTTTTTTACTTTGTCTCTCTTGTTAGGACAATCATGTTGTGAAACAGATACGCTACTGCAGGGTCAGTACTTGAAAGATGGGCAAGAGCTCGTTTCAGCTTTCAATATCTTCAAACTCAAGTTTTTCAACTTGGAGAATTCAAGCAACTGGTATCTTGGAATTTGGTACAACAATTTTTATCTTAGTGGTAATAAGAAGTATGGTGATATCCAGGATAAAGCTGTTTGGATTGCTAACCGTAACAATCCAATTTTGGGACGCTCTGGAAGCCTCACAGTGGATTCTCTTGGCCGATTGAGGATTTTAAGGGGAGCATCAAGCCTGCTTGAGATAAGCTCTACGGAAACCACAGGAAACACAACCCTTAAGCTGTTGGATTCTGGAAATCTTCAGCTCCAAGAGATGGATTCTGATGGATCGATGAGGCAGATTCTGTGGCAAAGTTTTGATTATCCAACGGATACCCTTCTTCCTGGTATGAAACTTGGTTTCAATGTTAAGAATGGGAAGAGATGGGAACTGACATCATGGCTAGGTGATACTTTACCTGCTTCTGGATCTCTTGTCTTTGGGATGGATGCTAATATTACAAACCGGTTGACCATCTTGTGGCGTGGAAACATGTATTGGGCAAGTGGGCTCTGGTTTAAGGGTGGGTTTTCCTTGGAGGTATTAAATGAATATGGTTTCCTCTTTTCCTTCATTTCAACCGAGAGTGAACACTATTTTATGTATTCAGATGATCACAAATTTGCTGGAACATTTTTTCCCGCGATAATGATAGACCAACAGGGAATTTTGCATATATACAGGCTTGACAGAGAGCGTTTGCATGTTCATTGTTCTCCTTTCACTTTGGATGAAGACATCATTGTTATATGGATTGTTTGCACGCTGGTTGCATAGTCCCAGATGGGCCGAATGGGTTAAGGTATTCTTTTAGAGAGACAGTATCGGCTTTCTCAAGCAATGGATTTATACTTAATGAGACTGGTGGAAGGTTTAGTTCAGCTGATTGCCATGCTATATGTATGCAAAACTCTTCTTGTATTGCCTATGCTTCTACCAATCTGGATGGTACGGGCTGCGAAATCTGGAATATTGATCCTACCGACAAAAAGTCGTCTTCTCAAGTTGTGGAAATATATATATAATCAGCCTTTTATTTAAGTGTCATTATAACTGCAGCAAATCTATGTGTATGCTAAGTTTTCTGGAATACAGGAGTTGTAGTAAACCAAGGGCACGAAAAGGCGGCAACTTGGCTAGTTGTTGTGGCATCACTATTCCTAATTATACCTGTGACTTGGTTTATCATCTATCTTGTTCTAAGGAAATTTAAAGTAAAAGGTAAAAATTTGTATCAGAATCACTCAAATGCTTCCTTCTCAATTGTGCTCTCTTACTAATAAATTCACCACTTTTTGTGTATTTTTGATCCAGTAAGTGTAATATTTCGCGGGATGTTCTACTTTTTATGGGGAAAAGTCATTCCACAAAGTAAGGCTTCAGCTGAATAACTTTTGTGCAAGTATGTATGAAAATGTCCATGTTGAATTATTGTATTTGTGATTTTGCTAGCGATTGGTTGCATACGGAGGAGGCTTCCAACACTGAGGGTTGGTTCAACAATAGACCAAGAAATGCTACTACGTGAATTAGGAATTGATAGGAGACGCCGAGGCAAGAGAAGTGCAAGGAAGAATAATAATGATTAGCCTCCTCTGATGCAAACAAGCTCGGTGAAGGAGGTTTTGGTCCTGTATATAAGGTAGTCCAGATTCTTCAGATTTTGATATAAACTTGAGCAGTTTTTGATGTTTCCGCTGCTCTCGTAAAGGGGAGTTTAATAGATGGGGAAGAGGTGGCTATCAAAAGACTATCATTAGCATCCGGGCAAGGATTAGTGGAGTTCAAGAACGAAGCAATGCTTATTGCAAAACTTCAACACACAAATCTTGTTCAGTTGCTAGGATGCTGCATCGAAAAGGATGAGAAAATGTTGGTTTACGAATACATGCCCAACAAGAGCCTTGACTACTTCCTCTTTGGTGAGCTTTCTATAAAAAGCTAAAAGTTCATAGAATTCCATCTGAAAAATTTCTCCAAACCTGTGCAGATCCCTTGAGGAAAAACATTTTGGATTGGACACTGCGGTTCAGGATCATGGAAGGGATAATTCAAGGGCTTTTGTACCTTCACAAGTACTCGAGATTGAAAGTGATACACAGAGACATCAAAGCCAGCAACATTTTACTGGACGAGGATATGAATCCCAAAATATCCGATTTTGGAATGGCTCGGATATTTGGAGCGCAAGAATCCAGAGCTAACACCAAAAGAGTTGCTGGCACATTGTAAGTTAAGACCAGAAACAATGATTCTCTAATCATTCATAGGCATCAATTTCTGACTAATTCTCTTGTGTTGATATTATGTGCAGTGGATATATGTCTCCGGAGTACTTCAGAGAAGGACTGTTCTCGGCGAAATCAGATGTATTTAGCTTCGGAGTTCTAATGTTGGAAATCATTTGTGGAAGGAAGAACAATAGCTTCCACCATGACTCAGAAGGACCTCTGAATCTCATAGTTCATGTAAATAAGCTTAACTTCTACTTCTCTCATTTGTTAACATTATCAGCTTGCTTGCTTTGTCCTTGAATCTCTGAAACTCTGTTTTTCAGGTGTGGAGTCTGTTTAAAGAGAACCGAGTTCACGAGGTGATAGATCCGTCTTTGGGAGATTCTGCAGTTGAGAACCCTCAAGTGTTGAGATGTGTTCAAGTTGCTCTGTTGTGTGTACAACAAAACGCAGAAGATAGACCAAGTATGTTAGAAGTTGTGTCGATGATATACGGCGACGGCAACAACGCTCTTTCTTTGCCTAACGAGCCAGCTTTCTATGATGGTCCTCGGAGAAGCTCTCCGGAGATGGAGGTTGAACCACCTGAGCTGGAAAATGTATCGGCAAATAGAGTTACCATCACAGTGATGGAAGCAAGATGAGCTAGTGAATTGCAGAAAACTGATTGTATGTGAATCTCATAGTTTACTTGAAAGTTTGAAACATTTTACTTCTAGTTGGATAATTCTGACTGATCTTATGAGACTCAAAAGTTATCGTTTTCTCGTTATGTCGCTTGTGAATTTGAATACAAAATTAGACTTTCCACGTGGACACGCTTCTGTGGCGCGGAGTGATAATCGTGTGGATATAACCTACCACTATATATATATATATATATATATATATATATATGATCGTGCAGAACAAGAATCAAATAGTCTCTAAAACTCGAAGAAACAGAGAGTTTTGGGGATTAAGGAAGCTATTTCTGTTCTCGTCGAGTTTCAGGTCTAGCCCTAACCCTAAAATTCAGCCATGTCGTCCAAGCAAGGTTATTATTCTCTTCCTCCTCTCATCTTTGTTATCTCTGTTCCAATCAATCGTTTTGCTTTCACAATTTTTGTTGATATGTGGCATCATTCCTGATTTGGTCTCAAAGATTCTATTAATCTTGTGTGCTTCTTAACGCATCGAAAATTCAAAAATCATGTTTTTATTTTATTTTACATGGTTCCTTGGAAAACGTCATCAAAATCCAATATTTTCTGCGAAATGTCATATGATTCTTGATTGATAGGTTAGGACTCTTCTTTTGCTGTTTCAGGAGGGAAATTGAAGCCTTTGAAGCAGCCTAAGTCTGGTAAGAAGGAGTACGATGAGGTATGATCTTTTTTACAAACTCGCTAATAACCCTTTTATCTTGGATCGTTTTAATGGTTTTACTCTGTTTCAAATGTAGCACGATATGGAGTTAATGCAGAAAAAGAAGGATGAAGAGAAGGTAGTTTCCTTAACCTTAGTTTTGATTCATTGAACCATTTTCATCAGAAATTGATTGCTGATGATCTTGTTTACGTGATGAAAACAGGCACTTAAAGAACTCAGGGCCAAGGCTTCACAAAAGGGATCATTCGGAGGCACAGGACTTAAGAAGAGTGGAAAGAAATAAGACTAATCTGCCTCAAATGTAATCTCCCCTCAAATCTCCTATCCTATGTATGCTTGTCAATGTACCATGACTAGTTATAACTTATAACCATTAAAATCATGTTGATGATGTAGAAGTAAATATAAATCTAAGACTTGCACACCTTCTTCAAAATTCTGCAACTTTCATTAAGGTTTTAGTTGTTGCAAGCTTTGATTAAACCAAAAGGATCATATGCATGCACCAGCATTAACAAAAAACAACCGATATTTTAATAGTCAAACCAAAAAAGATTACGACTTTAGAAGTCCCAAAAAGTTTGCAACTTGAACCTTCCCATCAAACACTTCCTTGGCTAAAATCCTGAATCCTGTCACCACGAACATTTAAGCTCTCCATTGCATTCTCCAACCCAGAACTCATCTCAGCCAACACATGAGGATCATTGTAATGTTGAACAGCTTGAACAATGCTCCTAAGCTTCTTAAACGGATCAGGACCATCAAAAACCTCAGAACCAACGAAAACTCCATCACAACCAAGCTGCATCATCAAAGCTGCATCAGCAGGAGTCGTGATCCCACCTGATGCGAACTGAACCACCGGAACCCTACCCATCTGCTTAGTCTGAGCCACAAGATCATACGGTGCTGATATCTTCTTAGCAAATGTAAACACCTCATCATCATCCATGTTGTTCAAGACTCTAACTTCACCCATCAATGACCTAACGTTCTTCACAGTCTCTGCAATATTACCTGTTGCGGTTAAATCTCCTTGGATCCTGATCATAGCAGCACCTTCTCTGATTCTCCTCAAAGCTTCTCCTGTATCACGGCAACCACAAATGAACGGAGATCGGAAATTGTGTTTGTTGATGAAATGATCTTCGTCCGCTACAGAGATAATCTCGCTCTCGTCAATGTAATCAACCGCAAGAGATTCCAAGATCTGAGCCTCAACGAAATGACCAACGCGAGCTCGTCCCATCACAGGTACAGACACAGCTCGTTTCACCTCTTTGATAAGAACCGGATCCGGCATACGACGAACACCACCGCGAGATCGAACCGGATCTGAGACGATAACAGAACATGCGCCTGCGGATTCAGCGATCTTAGCCTGGTTAACAGAAGAAACCTCAACAATGGCGCCGCCACGAAGTACTTGAGCTAATCCAACCTTAACAGAGAACGGATGGTTTTTCTTCGCGTCGGTGATGGCTGCGCCGCTGTAGAGAGTAACAGCTCCTTGTTCTTGATCAGTCATAGCTTGATCCGCCATTTTTAGGTTGTTAGAAACAGAGAGCTTTTCGCCGGAGAAATGTTGTTTGTTAGTAACACGATCTGAGACGAGAACGAGAAAGCTGCGTGGAAAGTGAGGAGAATTATAGAGAGAATGGAGAAGAAGAAGAGTGTGGTTTGGTCTAGAAGCTTCTGAGAATGTTCGTCGTCACTGAGAAATTGATTTTAGGTCGCCGGTTAGGGAGAAACAGAAAACGACGTCGTAGAGCAAAAAGAAGAAACAAAGTGGGCTTCCATGATGGTGATGATGATGATGGACCCAAGTAGACCACTTATTGTTTATCTTATTTAAGAGCCGTTGGATGTGAAGAGAACACGTGGCGGATTAGTGTGTAATTCCCGTCCAAAGATATTTTGAAATGATTAGTTTGATGGACACGAGTCAAAGAAGAAAGCAAAGCATGAAAAATTTTACGAAATAAAGGGAGTGGTATATCTAACAACTGTCTTACTTCGTGGCCCACCATGTTATAAATTGTCACGATACTAGACGACGTCGTTTTTAGTGCTCCTCACGTGTTTCAGGTTGTTGGTTCTATACATTTTTACAGTTTTGAAGCAATTTTTAATAATTGAGTACGTAAATCTTACTCTCCCCTACTCTGCCACTACCACTGAGATTATAATCATACTATAAAGTTATGAATCTTGTAGGATTTAATATTGTTAGATGAGACAAAATCAGTCGGCAATAAAAAAAAAAAAGGTGTAAAAGTTGTTTTTTAATTCGTCATTACCTTATATGTAAAGTAGAAATTAAAAGATGATATTTGAAATATCATTTTTCCCACTTCGATAATCCGATAATTGGTTGATGACATATGGTAAACAAAATTGTTTGACATAAAAACTTGTGATGTTTTGCTTGTGGTTACTGGCTAGACCAACGATTTGTTGTTGAGTTTTAGGCACGAGTAAATAAATGGTGGGAAATCGATTAAACACACATATGAAGCTATGTATGAAAACAAATATCTCTTCTTGACACATGCAATCCAAAAATTATCGGAGAATGACGACGTTTTATCTAACCATCTATATGGAAGACCATTTATGTTCAAGCTTCGAAATACACTTGTTTTTTTTTTTTTTTGATAAGCTTCGACATAAACTTGAGCTAGATTTGAGTAGTAATTATATTTTCTTCGATTGCTTTTTGAGATAGATATATTTTTTTTTTTTTGAACAAACTAGATAGATATTAATTATGGTGACATTTTCTCTCTTATTCTTCGTAGGCATATAGACTACAACAAATAACATTCACGACACATTTGTTTTTGCCAAATTCAAACTTGAAAATCAATAATAATCTAACATAAAAACAAAGCTACTCCACACAAATCCAAATTTAAATTTAAAAGCTATCATGATCACTCTATAAAACAACTTTTACTTATAAGTGTGAGTATAATTGGTCAAATCAACTAAAAATTTACCATTACTTTTGAATTCAAAAACGTTATTGATTGCTTTAGCTAATATTGAATCAAAATAACTTTATTCAGTGATATTATCAATATTTATTTGACGAATGTAAATTTAACATTGTAAAAATCTTTAGTATTTATGTTATCCCTCCGTATGAGTTTTATCCGAAAACCGGGTTCTAATTAATTTAATTTAATTTTAGAAAAAAATCCAAACTATATGGATAAATCAACTACCTTGGTAGTTTTCATAAATTAATGTAGTTGACAAAAAAAACTTTTAATACAAAATACATAAATTAGTAGTAAAATAATAATATATTAACTTTGTATAGTAAAGTAATTAGTAATAACTAAAAATATAATGTAATCCAAATCCCATAAAATAATATATGTAAAACCATGTCCACAAATCTGTGATTAATAATTAGACTTAGAGGAATTAAAACGACATATAGAAATGGAGTTTAAGGGAGCGTCAGAGAAAGAAAGAAACAGCGACCAATACTCTCCTCTCTCTGCGCTTTAATTTGAACTTGTGGAGAGAGAAAGGGTTAGATAGAGAGATAGCGAAAGAGAGAGACACAGGAGAGCAAACTTCGTCAAGGGATTGTGGTTAAAGATCCGATTAAAGGATCCATTTGGAGCTCCGATTCGAGCTAGAGGCAATGAACGGAAGACAGAGATCTGGCGCAGCGGCGGTGCACCACCAGAGACAGCTTTCCGATAACCCTCTCGACATGTCTTCCTCCAATGGCCGATGGCTTCAATCTACTGGTCTTCAGCATTTTCAGTCATCCGCCAATGTAATCTCAGAATCTGATCCTTTTCTTCTCCTCCTCCTTATCTTTCCATCGATTCAAAAATTTAAATTTCTATGAAGTTTCTAAGAAGATCTGTTAGTTCAGGAGAGAAAATTCTCCGATCTGAAGTTCTGGGCAAATTTGTTTTTGAGTTTATTATGCATTTTCTCGATGAGACTTGTGAACCCAAGTTTAGTTTATGAGGTTTTTTTAAACTTAATGGTGGGATTATGAACAGGATTATGGATACTATGCTGGTGGACAAGGAGGTGGTCAAGCAACAAGAGGATATCAGAATGCTCAGAGAGGGTTTAATGGAGGAAATGAGTTCTTTGGGGAACAACCAACTACTCCTCAATACGGTGCTCGTCCAACGAACCAAAGGAAGAACAATGATGAATCTGAGTTTAGTCCTGGGCTCTTAGATCTGCATTCTTTTGATACTGAGCTTCTTCCTGAGGTAGGCTGTTCTTGAATTTTTTTTCCAGTGATTGGTGTTGGTGTGCTTTTTGACTTTTTAGTGACTCTTTCTAATTGCCATTTACATATCCGAGTATGAAAAAAGACCTGCAATTCAAGGTTTACCTTTTGTTTAAATGTCG